TCGCGATTTATTAGTTTGAATTAAGAAAACACCAACAGAATACAAATCGCGATTTATTAGTTTGAATTAAGAAAACACCAACAGAATACAAATAACGTGATCTAGGAACATCCTGAATCATGCTGGTTCAAGTGCAGGATCGGCCATGACCTTCCCGAGAGCCTGGACAAGCCACTTCGCTCTAGACTTTAGTTTCCTTTCCTCTGTTGAACACGCCTCTACCGCAGCATCCTTCCCACCCTGCTCTTCTTAACCCAGCTAGAACAAGTTCAACACGGTGCCCTTGTAGTAACACATTTTCCATAAGATCATGATTTTCCACTTTCACCTTTGGGCTGATCAGAACGGTCTTCCTCAGCTCCTCGGAGACAGCAAAGCAACTACCGTGTGTTTTAGTAATTCTCTCTCTTTCTGACGTGACTCTGACAACACCCAAGTTGTCATTTACACCGGACCTTCACGTTTACTTTTCCCTAAGGAAAGATCCATTAATTAAATAAGGTGAGCTTCATCTCTTCTCTGTTAAACTCAGCCTCTGCCAAAACATTTGAGAACTCATCACTACGTACCTTTTTAAATTTCAATTTTTTTAAAGATTTTATTTATTTGAGAAAGAGAGAGGGTGAGAGAGAGTGTGAGAGGGAAGAAGGTCAGAGGGAGAAACAGACTCCCCATGGAGCTGGGAGCCCTCCCGATGCGGGACTCAATCCCGGGACTCCAGGATCATGACCTGAGCCGAAGACAGTCGCCCAACCAACTGAGCCACCCAGGCACCCTTAAATTTTAATTTTTTAAAAAGGTTTTTATGTATTTATTTGTCAGAGAGAGAGAGAAACTGAGCAAGCAGGGGGAGGGGCACGCAGAGGGAGAAGGAAAGGTAGGCCCCCTGCTGAGCAAGGAGCCCTATGTGGGGCTCCGTCCCAAGATGCTGGGATCATGACCTGAGCCGAAGGCAGACGTTTAACCAACTGAGCCACTCAGGTGTCCTGTACTTATATTTTTTAAAAACAAAAACAAAAACAAATCCGCGTCAGGACCTCATCCGTGTCCTGAGCAATATTCCAATATTCCATAAATTCCATTCTTTAACTCATAATGAAATAGCATTCTACTCTGGCCCCTTTTAAAAGTATCACAGACACCTTTTTAATTTACACAAAATAATGCGCGTAAGGGCAAACATTAATTAAGCAAGTAAAATAAAATGGTCACCTATAAAGGTCTCTGTCAATGACTTTAAAAAGTATTAAACCAATTTGTTAAAACTGATGAGTCTCTAACGTTTCCGTCCTAGTGATTGCCTGGCCCCGAACCCCAGACCCATGCGTTTCAGCACACACCTTTCAGTATCAATCTTTAGGGCACCATCTTCTTTATATTCATTTTATAGCCCATTCCCTCATTCAACAAACACTACTGAGTATCCACTACATGAAAGATATGGATTTAGGCACTAGGGAAGCCACAGAGAAAAAAAAATTCTAAATTTTTGCCGTTTACACTCTTGTATTATAGTGGGGGAAAAACACAGATAATAAGTAAAAAATTAAAATATATGTAGTTAGCCACTGATAATGGTGAGAATAATTACAACAGCGAATGGAAGAATAGGTTGGGTGTAGACTGAAATCTTTTTTTAATTGAAGCATAATTGATATGCGATATCCTATTAGTTTCAGGTATGCATCATGGCGATTTGATATTTTTATACATTGTGAAATGATCCCCATGGCAAGTCAAGTTACCATCTGTCACTGTACTAATTATAATATTATTGACTATATTCCCTATGCTGTACATTACCACCCCATGATTTATTTACTTTGTAGATGGAAGTTTGTAGCTCTTAATTCCCTTCAACTATTTTGCCCATCACCCAACCCCTCCCCATCTAATAAACGAGTTTGTTTCCTGAATCTGTGAATTGGTTTCTGTTTTGTTTGTTTTTTAGATTCCACGTAAGTGATGTCACATACAATGAAATCATATGGTATTTGTCTTTCTTTGTCTGATTACATTTTTTTGGTCAGTAGTCTGATCACATTTTTAAACACAGAGTAAACCATAACAGCCCTCACTCACTAAGTGATGTTTAAATGAATAAAGTCATTGTCCATCAAGCCACATGAATGTCTGGGGAAAAGTATTCCAGACAGGGAAAGTGCAAATGAAAACATTCTAATTTTGGAATATTCTGGTATTGTTTAGGTCTACAAGGAGGCCAGTGAGCGAGGAGGGAGAGAATAGTAGAAATTAAAGTCTGAGGTGTAACAAGGATGGTTATGTGTGAGATGGAAAGCCCTTGGCATTGGAAGGTTTGAAGCAAGTTAATGTAGCATGCTTGAACTTATTCTCTACCTACTATTCTTTATTTCAATAAAGCTATAACTCAAGAAAGCTTAAAAAAGAATACACACATACACACATATACATGTATA